TTGTTTTTTTCTGAATATGAAAGTACTCATGATCATTGTAGAAAACTTAACAAAATAAAAAGCATCTGTAATCACACCATCCAGAGATACCACTACTAAATTTTTTTATTCTTTAATATTGGTTCCTATTTCCTATGCATCTAAGTAAAAATATATACAGAAAACTTGGCTTCTGTAGATGTGTATGCCAGAATTTTTCGTATAGCATATCATGAGCATTTTCTTTGGACATTAGCTATTATTCAAACATGTTAATTTCCACACAATAACCCATTATGTGAATGTGTCCTAATTTATTTAATCTTATTAATCAAAATTATTGTTGGACATTTGGGCTTCCTCTCAGCTTTTTCAAAAAAATGTTATCAGTCATACTGATAAAAGTATTTGGATAGATTTGGAATTACAAGACCAATGGAATAAAAGAAAATAAAGTTCTTGGTTCTGAATTCCTGTTCAGGAAGTTAAAAAAAAATTTTTTTTGAAGTATGATTGACCTCTATGGAGGTATGACCAACATACAAAAAACTGTACGTATGTAATGTATAGCAATTGGTGCATTTGGAGATGAGTACACCTGAGGACATTTTTAACCAATTTGTAGTTTCACCAGCTGCTCTAGTTCTTTTATTAATCTGTCTCTTTGTCAGGTTTTGAAGAGAGAACCAGTTTCAGGAATGAAACAGTAGCTGGATTCCATGTCTTTGGGAAGAAGCTAATGCAAGAGTAATACACTCTTAGCTCACATTCCAGTGACCATGAGGGGTAAAGAGCACTGTAAGTGTTAACATTTCTTGTGGTGGTATAACTTGCTCCTCGTTCGGTCTTTTAACTTGGCTCATTTCCTTGTGCATACTAGCAGTAAAAGATTTTTGGATCTCAAAAAATGTCTCTTCAGGGACAAGAAAGGGGAAGAGAGATAGAAATCATCATTCCATTCCTCACTGGCCTCCGAAAGCTGGGCATCCTACCGTAAATCTTCATAGCACCTTGTGCTTCTCCCGTGCAGCACTTCTTATGATTATAAGTCATCCGTTATTTGTGTATTTGTTTAATGTCTATCTTCTTTACCAAAGTATAAGTTTCACAAGGCAGGGGCCCTGGTGGTCTTTTTTGCCGCTTCATCCCTAGAGTGAAGCATAGATCCTACTGTAAAGTCGGCACTCGGTTAACATCTATAGAATGAATTACGATTGGAATGAAGACTCAGGATAGAAAAATATGTGTCTTCTGTACCTCAGAGACTGAGACAAGGAGTTGTCTTGGGTGCTTGCTCTGAGACCCTGAGATGATGCTGGCAGAGTGAGCCCTAGGGGCATCTGCCCTGGTGCTCCAGTCTCCCCTCTTCAAGGCCTGGGACATTCAGCCAGCTGGGGAAGAAGAACTGCATTCTTCCCTGAGCCTCTCTGTCCTCCATCCTTTTTCTCTCTCATGCCTTCCTTTCTCCTCCCCATCCCTTTCTTTCTCAAACTCACGTGGAGCTCTTTCCTTCCTCACTCCACCCTCTCCAGCAGATGGCCCAACTAACACTCAATACCAGCGACAGAACCCTGCCTGCCACCGTAGGAGGTCTGCCCAGAAACGATCATGTTGACGGATTACTTCAGGACACATGAGCCCTCAGTGTCTGGACTACACTCAGCAAGAGGATATGATTGTGGCCTCAGATCTGAGTTTCCAGGTGCTTAGTCAACTGACTTCTTTATTTTTGTTGGTGATGTCATCTGTCTTCTACCACTTAGGTGTGATTGCTTCCCTCCCTCTGTCCAATCTTCTGTAGAAAGGGAGGTACAAATGGACATGGATGTCCAGGAGGGTCCTCTGGAAATGGGAGGAAAGCTGAGGGTCTCATTCAAAAGGGTTCTCTTTGGAGACATACATGGAAGATGCAAAATGTATTCCAGAAGGACTTTTAAATCAGTGAGGTGATAGGAAGGGAAAAAAAGGCTAAAGTGGGCCATTTTGATGGGAGGTGGTTCACCTCCAGCCTCTCTGCGAGGTCCCTTATGAAACAGAACCAAAGCCATTCCCTTTGCTTTCCTGGGCTGGGACAGCTGCAGCAGGGCTTCATACACCTGACCCTTCCAGGAGATCTGGCTTGTTCTTCCTAATGTATGGAGAAGCTGGGGCTTGTGAAGGCCCCTGGTGTAGTGCTGCGGTGTTTTACATGAGAATAGGCAGGGAAGGAGTGCCTTTGGCTTAGCCTACTTCAGGTCTTGCTTGGTCCACTATGTTTGTTGTTGAAAACTCGGGCTACTCAAATTTCAGTATTTTTGTCAGGAAAATGACTCTGGTGGTATATTGGTGAAGGTTAAGGTCTTATACTCTTTTACTTAAGAGTTCTTTCTTACAGATAAGTGATTTCCAATGTCTTCTTTTGAACTGTTTCCTACTGTTTATGTCTATGGGGGTGAAAAAGGTTGAGTCACTATGTAGAACACAGAAAGTGGTCTACAGCTTGCCTCTCCCTGTAGAACCTGGACTGTGAATCACCCCAGGGTTTCTTTCTCTAAAATACAGAAAGTGTCTTATCCCAGGGGAACTTCTATGGAGAACTTACAAGGAGATGGACCCAGCTTTCCATTCTCTAGGCTTTGATGTCTCTGGAGTCTTTGTCAAGGCCTAGTAGATCTGGGTATCACTGAAGAAGCTGGCTGGGATGGGGATGTTGTAAAAAGGAAACGGACGGGTGGTGGGAATGGGGTGATCAACCCTCTTGCTGGTGTCTGCATGAGGATGGTATGTGACCAAAAAATTAATCCCAGTGAAGCAATGAGACCAATTCACCAAGGGGATAAGAGGCTTCATGATGAAGAGGTGCTTTTGCTTTGGATAAGCCACAAGGCTTGACATGTAGTTTTGAAACTCTTCTAAGATGTGCTTTCATTCAAAGACCACTTGTGTTATACTCTTCAGCTGAAATGCTGTCATTCCAATCTGTCAGTGTCAGCTGAAATAAAATGGGTGTGGACACAGAGAGTCCTGGGACCCTTGTCCCTCAGAGACAATGACAACAGAGTCCTGGCTGAAGGTGGCTGTTAACCATGAACTGTTGTATATGAGTGGAATGCACAAGGATGAACGCTATGGTATGATCATTACATTTGTTGTGTGCTTCACAGTGCACAGTTTATAAAGACTTCTATTTTAATTCTAAAATTGTCCTTTAAGTCAGCAGGGCAGGCCTTGTTCTCAACACTGTGTAGGTTGATACCCCAAGTCTCAAAAGAGACTTGCCCCAGGGCATACAGTTAGTGTGTTGCTGAGCCAAGAGTTAGACTGAGGAGTTTTGTTTTCAAGTTCAAGCCTCTTGAGTTTTGCTGAACTAGTTAGAGGCAGCCTGAGCCACAGGACTCCCATGAAATGGGTTGCCCTTTTTAACAGAGCAAAGTCAAGTGCCAGTAGAAACTTGAGGGTGTGGAGAACTGCTGGCCATAAGATCATCAGCAGATCCCACTTTATTACCACATTTCCAACTTCTTTAGTAAGACTAAATAATCCTCAGAGTGCAGAACACCTCTTGAGAAAATTTCTCAAGTTCTGTTGCATAATGCATGCTTCCCAGGAGCATTGTAGGTTGATCAACACGTGGGAAGTGCTCAAGACTGAGGAGGGAAAAGAATGCTGGCTAGGTAGGTGACCATGACAAGTTCCACACCCCTGGCCTTAAGCTCCCGGGGATCTGGGACCTGTCTTGTGATGAACCTCCTGAAGTCCATCCAAACCCCTGCTGATCCTTTAGAATACAAGCCTCCTTCAGGATACAAAATGACCCCCTAAAGCAATCAGAAGCCAGTTCCTGTTCCTCTTCCCACTTCTCTGGACTATACTGCTAGCTTCTTGTTTCTCACCTCTGTCCCAAAGTTCAATTTTACAAGCCACGAGTCCTTTTGCAATTGTTTGAAAAGTGTGTGGGTGAGAGGGGAGCAGCTCCTGTTCCTTCACTATGAGGGGATTTCAGACAAAATATTCAGTACAGGCCCAATCCCTTACCTTTTATCTTCCCAAAGAAAATAAACACCTGGGAGTGTGTCTCACTAGCCAATAAAATGAAGAGATGGAAACTCCTCCATCTAGGAAAGCTCACAGAGTGGCCTTAGCTCCAGCCCAGACAGAGAGTTAATTCCCTTAATAGTATCTGAGCCTGAGGCAGGAGATCCATGCAGCAGACCCAGGTGTAGGACAGCAACTCATTTTTCAATCTTGTCTCAGATGTTGAGGTACACTTATTTATCAAGGAGCTGAGCCCAAGCCTGGGTCGTCTGGGATCAGGACCTCTTTAAGGGGACACTTCAGACTGGTGACTTCCACCAGGCTGATGTTTTACTGAGCATGAAGGTGAGCTTCAGGCCAGTGCAGCAATAAAGGAGCCCATATGGGGAACCAGGAGTTGGAGAGAGGGCAGTCCCCACTCCAGCCATCAAGGAGGAAGTAACCACCTGCACTTGTGGGGCCAACCCCATTCTGGGCCACCACACATGCCTGTAGGTGAGCCAGGGCAGGTGATCAGAGGCCAGAGCTGGGCATAGTCAGGGATGTGCTTAGGAGGTCCTTGCCAGGGTTTTAATTCAGAAGCCAGAGACGGGGGGAAAAAAGCAGATCAGATGAGCATTTTGTGCTCCCGTTTACAGTTCTAGGTCCAGTACTAAGCAGAGCCATAAGGTAAGATTGTCAGCTGAGCAGGGTCCAGTTATACACTCCCCTTAAGGAGTTCCAAGCCACAGGGTCCTTGACCTTTGCTCTGTGATCCATTTTCCAATCAGGGCTTAGCCTTCAAGGCTTAACCTCTTCCTTAGGCTGAGCCCCACACCCTGAAAGAAGACCTTTCTATCAGTGTAGCTCACCCATAAGCTGCAAGAGGGCAGATCTCAGAAGAAAGGATACAGATAATCTAGAATTCTGTAGGCTTTTCCCTTCTTCAATGGTCAGAGACCCTGTTCCTCAAGTATCTGAAACAGGGGGTCCTCCTGCCACAATCCTTTTCACCCAGCTGTGGAGGTGGAGTGAGGGATGAGAGCCCCCCTTCTCCACCCAACCAGGGGACAGCTCAGGGTAAGAAGGTAAAAGATCCCTGGACACCATTGGCCGAGCCTAGGAGGGAGGCAGTGCATTTTAGTCTCCCTGCCCGGCCTTGGTCCCTACCCCGATCCATGGCAGCCCTTTCAGGAAATTTAGTGGAAATTAATTCAGACCTGCAGTGGAGTCCGCCAGCCTCCCTCTTCTCCCAGCTCCTCCCAAGGCGCTTTCATCACCTTTCTGTCAGACTCGGACCATCCCTCCTGGGCTTCATCTGCAAGCAGCCCTCGTCTCCCTGCGAGCACTCACCTCTTTCACCCCTTCTTCCTTCCAACCCCAGTCTCCACATCCTCCTGTTCCCCCTTCTCCCTCCTCAAGCCCCTGCCTCCCAGTTGCCTCCCACCCTCTTTCTTCTTGTCCCTGGCACTTGCAGCAAGAGGGAGAGAGAAAGTCCCTGACAGGATTGACCGTCACTCCCCATCCTCCCCCTCTTCTGCTCCCTCCGCCTAGCAGGTCCAGATTTCTCCCTACAAAAGGCTGGAGGCAGAGGCTGTGTGAGACCAGCTGCCTGCACCTTCCCTTTCCTTTGCCTTCTGCTGGCTCGGTTGGGCTGTGTCTTTGTTTTCTCTTTCTCCAGGTGAGAGTGGGTACCTGAGGTACCAGGTCCTCCTCCTCATTCTCCATGAATGCTGTGGAAAGCCCCGAGGGACAGGAGCTGCAAAAGCTGGGGAGCGGAGCCTGGGACAACCCTGCCTACAGCGGTCCCCCCACCCCACCTGGGACACTGAATATCTGCACCATTTCCAGTACGGTGCCCCCCCCACCCCAACTCGAGAAGCCTAAAGATGGACCCCAGGGAAAGATACATAAGACCCTGGTGTCCAGTTGCTGCCTCCAGATCCGTCATGGCATCAGAGGTACTTGGTAGAGGGGGCATTCTCCTGCTATCCCAGAGTCAGGAGAAGGGGTCACCAGAAGCTTTTGGAGGGGGATATGATCTGAAGAAGAGGTGGAATCTCAGTGTCTCTTTGGTATTAGAGAATTATCTGTGTTAGAGCTGAATGCCGCAGAATACAGAAGTCAGGTGGTCTCCCAAAGAGAAAGCCTAGTACAGTCATCTCTGGGGGCCCAGAAGGTTATGTGGAGGCTAGTTTGAGAGAAGACATGGATATGCTGATCCCCTGGACAGCCCTACGTGGAACAAAGACTCCTTTCTGTGCCTTCATTCTCTGTAACCCAGCGCCTTCACTCCTGTCTACCTCAGGGTGTTTGATGGGGAAGGAGAGTCATAGGTGTGGTTAGAGTAGCCAGATTCAGTGAAAGGATAAGATGATGGGGAAAGGGGCTGGGGTGGAAATGGGAAGTCAGTCCAGGGACACATGTGTGGGGTAACTGGGGGGACCCCTGCTGTTGGGAATCTTAGGCATCTTTCCAATGTCCCTTAGGACTTTGGGGAACAACCTTGACTGAGAACACAACTGAGAACCGGGAACTTTATGTCAAGACGACCCTGCGGGAGCTTTTGGTGTACATCGTGTTCCTGGTAGACATCTGTCTCTGTGAGTAACACCTATCTCTGAGCACATCTGTCTGTGAGAAGCATCTATATGCACAACTATGTACATACCTCTGTGGGCAGCATCTATGGGGACAGCATCCGTCTGTGTGAGCAGGCTGTACCCGAAATCTTTAGATCAATAATAACATTCTATTGTGTACCTTTTCAGCTTAAGATATTTTGATTAAAAAGGGTTTGTCACTGAGTTCAGAGGAAAAAGGCATATTGTTGGAAAACTTTTAATAAAAGTTGCTTTGTCAAGAGTTACAAGGGGAATCCACTTTTTAAGTTCAGGTTCCTGGTACCTACTTAGCTGTTTTCAATCAGCAGGTGGAAGTTTTCACCCTTCCATAAAAAATGGAAGCCACTCCTTTCTGTTTGGAAAAATATGGTTTGGTGGGTTTCATGTAGTTATTATACAATGTCTGATCTGCATTTCTTTAGAGGCAGGAAGAAAAATATTCAGCTCAGATCCTTGATAAAAGGGTTAAAGATGCAAATGGTGTGGTGGTCAATACAGCTACGGTTCTCCCATGTGAGGGGCCGCCATGCCACAGGCATTGAGGGAAGCTCATCTGAAGCTGTAGCTATAGGTGCACACTGGGAAGGTTTGGTCTCCAAGTTGAGAGGCCAAGTGAAAAGATAGATCGGTGAACTATGGAAGGATAGAGTCAAAGAACTGTAGATAATAATAAAGATGGAGCAAACATGCCATGAGGCCGATAGGTAAGCATGCTTTATACTTAGTTAATTGTTTCTTTAAAATTTTGCGCAAGTGAATTTCAACTAGTCTCCTAGAATTGTATGTATAGGTGTGTGTTGAGTGAAGTGGCAACTTGAACCATACAACTAAGGTGTCTCCATTTCTAGGTGGCTCTGTACCCCAGCTAGTTCTTTTTAGGATGCATGGGTCTTTTGCAAGTAGAATCTGAAAGTCTGATAACATAAGTTTTGGTTACAAATTTCACTGCCTTTATGAGCCATCCACATTTATTTGAGCCCTCTAGGAAAGCTGAGCAGAAAGCACTTGCTTTTGGCTGTCCTCTGTTGAGACTCACTTCATGGGGATGGAGGGGACAGTGCTGAGTGTTTACCACAGGCCTTCAGCATGGAAAGAAAGGAGACAGTACACGTGGGGAATAGGAGTCGACCCAGTGTACATTCTTTGGAGCCCGTTTCAGCAAATGACTGTCAGAAATTCATTTGTTGACATACTGATTTTTCGTCTTAACCATCTGCTGGGAAGGACTATGACAGACTATGACAGGCAGAGCCTGTCTGTATAAATGACTCAAGTGTTTCTATTTTCAGATTAGCCTTTGGAGCAAGATTAGGAAGTTTCTAGCTCTCCAAAGTTAGGGTGAAGTATGCTTGCTCTTTTGTATGGGACTGGAGAGAGTGAAAGCTTGGGTTCTGGAAACCCAGAAGTCCAACCCACTCGTGTTCTCCACTTTTTGAGATCTCAATGTACTGTCCATTGCTAGAGGGACTGTGACTTGCCAAAGTCTGAGTCATAAACTCGGTCTGATAATTATAGAATCCTTGAGTGGCCAGAAGCTTTAGAGGTCATCTAGTTCAAGGATGCAGAAATCTTTTCTCCATGATCCCTCCTGTGGTGCTCTGTCAGGTGACCAAGCAGCCGCATCCTGGGGAGCCTCCATGGGGGTTTCACTTCTTCATGGGGCATCCCTTTTACTATTGGGCAGGTGTATTTCCTTCCATCCATGGAGCTCCCTTTTCTGTGCCAGACATTGGACTGAGATAGGCAAAGATAACTGATTCTTAGACCTTTCAAGGGCTCACCTTCCCCTCTCGAGAACTTTCTTCTATTGAGCCATCTACTTCCCTGTTGCTCTCCGAAGCGACAACCCTTCAACTGTGTGAATGAATATGTTTATCATGTTTCTCCTAGGTTGTCTGTTCTCTGGATTAAATATCTTCTAATCTCTCACTAAATCAGTAATTATAATATGGTTTCTAGAGGTGGTATTATGCAGAGATTGAAGGCAAGGGTTCCGAATATACACAGTCTTGGGTTCAAACCCCAGGCTCTACCATTTACCAGTTGAGGGACCTTGACTAAGTTGCTTAACTTCTCTGAGTTTCAGCTTTCTCATCCGTACCTATCCAATCCAATAGGATTATGTGAGGTTTACATGAGGTAATACCCATGCAGTCATTACCTCAATGTCTGGCATATAGTAAAAAATATTCCATAATGCTCACCATCTTAGTTGCCTGTCTCCAGTCCTGATCTAAATGTGCCCAGTACTGGACAAAGTCCTCCATGGGTGATCTGACCGGTGTAGAGTTCTGTGATGCTGTTACTTCAGTTGTGTGCATATTTGGGGAATCTGTGATGACATGCAGAGGAAGTGATGTCTGAACTAAAATCTGAAAGATGAGGGGGATTTAGCTCCCCAAAAATGTGGTGAAGGCAAGGGAAGTTTCTGGGAAGAGAGAACAGCATGTGCCAAGCCCCAGAAGTGACAGAGGGCACCGTTTAGTGAGAGTGCATCAGTGCAGCTGGAGCAAAGAGTTTGAAGAGCAAAGAGGTAAAAGATGACAAGGCTGGCCATTTAAGCATGAGTGGGTCATGAAAGGCCTTATAAGTTATGATAAGGAATTGGGATGTTATCCTGCGTACCCTGGAGGGGAGGCATTGAAGATCTATAAACACAGGAGTGACATGATAAATCTTGAGTTCTTCTAATTCTGGGAAGAGGACAAAAGCCTGGATTTGGGGTCAGAGAATATCTCTGGGGAAGTTGAGTGAAAAAGATAGTCCTGTGCTAAGTATAGGAATGGATATTTTATTTAACCCTCACAACAACCTTATCAAGGCCACTGAGTCAATTTAGTGGAAGTAAAGCACGCTGGTTAAGCACTAGAACTTTGAAGCCCCAGAGGGTTCAAGGCCTGGCACTTCCAGTTATCAGCTGTGTGGTCCAGAGCAAGTTTGCTAACCTTGGATAACTTGGGTAACGATCATATCCACCTAATAAGATTGTTGTGAAGTTTAAATAAAATGGCCCATGAATATGCTCAGCACAGTGCCTAACACATGATAAATAATACATACTATTATTTTCAGTTCACATCAGACACTACAAAACTGAAGTGGCATGAACCCAACCAGTGATGGAGGTTGAGGGAGAATTAACCTGATACCTTCAAACTTCTGAAAACCTCCAACTCCTATGAAATTGGGCTCTCAGTAAAGACCTTGAAATCATTAAACTACCTGAAGATATACCATTAACTGCCTTTGACTTTGAGAATTGAAGTCCCTGTCCACAAAGTACCAGCCCCCTCAAGAACTATCTTATAAAAGAGGATTTGGAGGCCTTCACATTCTGATCACTCCTACAGCACGTAACAAAATGATACTAACACCAGGTTCCTAGACACCATCCTGTTCCAGTCCCTTCCTTCCTTCAGGCAGATCTTCAGGCAGTGTTGAGCTGATATTGTCTCAGTAGGGCTTTTTTGGTGCTCTCCAAGGTCCTCACCTTTGTGGCCTCCTCACCTTTCTGGCCTCTCAGCTTTTTGTCTGCCTCCATGAGTTCTGGCCACCTGCAGCTAGACTATGTATTCTCAGTCGGAATGCTATAGTCCCCAAAGGGGTGGAAGTAGTTTCTTGGATGGCAAGAAATATCCCACTTAGATATTTCAATAGCTTTTGGCTCTCCAAAGGGCCACAGTACATAAGCAAAGGTAGAGTATTAAAATGTAATTAGAATTGTGGGTGATTAGGATAAAGTGTCTAAAGAGGCTCCTGGGTTGGAGTACAGTACAAAAAATTGTTAAGAAACACTAAACTAGACCCACCTAATTTTGCTAGTCAGTGTGCTAAGCTCTCCTGCCAAAGGACTGGGATACGAGCCCTGGCCTTAGAATCTGGCATAAAGTAGGGCGGCTGTTATGTTGTTCAATCAGGATGCTGTCTTTTTTGTTTTAATATATTTTTATTGAAGTATAGTCATTTTACACTGTTGTGAGGATGCTGCCTTCTAAGAGCTGCCATGACATGTGGTTGGATATGCACTTTACTGGTTTGCTTTTCTCTATCAGTTCCTACGACTGGGTTCAGGTGCTCCAGGACCCATATTTGGTCTTAAGATAAACCCTGTGGCATAATGGAGAGACAGGAACACTGGGGTCAGACAAACTGGATTCAAATACCAGCTCTTTCACTTACTGGTTTTGTGACTTTAGGTACTTCCTTGCTGGTAGAACAAGGTTGACAGTATTAATCTTATGGAGATAGCATGTGTAAAGAATCTAACACCATTATTGATAGTAATTATCTTTGTGTTATCTAGTGGAATTTCAGAATACTTGGTCTTTTAGATTGGTTGTTAAAAATACCTTTCAATAAAAAAGCAAATATAAAAAGGCTATATACTCTGTGATTCTAACTGTATGACATTCTGGAAAAGGCAAAACTATGATGATAGTGAAAGGACCAGTGGTTGCCAGGGTCCAGGGGGAGGAGGAGATGAACAGGTGGAGCATAGAGGATTTTAGGGCAGTGAAACTACTCTGTGTGACACTATTATGGTAGGTACATATCATTATATATGTGTCCAAACCCATAGACCGTATAACACCAAGAATGAAGCCTGAAGTACAGACTTCGGATGATAATGATGTGTTAACATAGGTTCATCAATTATAACATGAACCACTCTGGCTGTGTGTGTGTGGACGTGAAGGGTATATCGGAAATCTCTACCTTCCATTCAATTTCTCTTTGAACCTAAAAATGCTCTAAAAATTAAAGTCTAGTTTTTTAAAAACATCTATTTGAAAAATACCTCTCAAATTTGTACTTGGCTTCACATTTAGGGATAGTATCATTTGAGCAGCATCCACTTCTGACATTAAACCTTTAAGGCATTTTCTCCAAAAGACCTCAGTTTATCACAACCACTACCACCATCATCATTATCATCAACAGCACTAACAGCAAACCTTTATGAAATAATTTTTCAATGT